AGATAGGGAACATGTAAGGTCATTTCCCTACTTTGTGTTTTGGAGGATGATGACAACCCTTTATTGACCTAATCTTATGCTAAGTGTTTCAGGTTTCGGTTTTAGGTCTTCTTCGGTTAGCTATTCTCTCGGAAGGCAAAAGGATCAAAGACGGTGTTTTCTACGCGTTTGTTTATCTCTTTTGGTCATAGGGAACCCGTACTATCAAGAGAGAATCCACATTGGAAAGTGTTGCGGGTATCCATTCACGTACACTTACCTCACCCCTCTCTTGTCTTCCCCTTCCTTCCTACTGTCTACTATGGGCTCCAGCGGTTGTACCGCTCTCCGGAGCGGTTGTACCGCTGGGTCTTGGCGCTGACCAGTTTTGTTCGAGCGGTTGTACCGCTGCTTCCGGGCGGTGGTACCGCCAATGCTCAGCAAGGACTAGGGCGGTTGTTCCGGCCAGGCAACACCCAAGTACCGGTCTGGCCTCTGTTTTGATGCGGTACTCGTGCGGTGGTGGCCTGGTTGGTCCGGTCGTACCGGTACCACCGGGGTCCGAAGCGGTTCTATCGCTCATGACTTAGCCGCCCGAGCGCTCGAGGCCATGCGGTTGCACCGGCCCGGTACCGCTCGACTACCGCACTCAGGGGTGACTCCCTTCTATTCTTATGCGGTGGTTGGGCGATGGCTGGGCGGTTGGTCCGGTTGTTCTTTTCAACCGGTACTACCGCCTGGTCGCCCGGTTGTACCGCCTGGTAGGGTTCTGCACGTAAACTGTGAGTCCCGGTTGTACCGGGACCAGGAGCGGTTGTACCGATGCAGCACTGAGAGCACAGTAACAGTTGGATTTTTAGGGTTGCTATATAAGGGTGCTTCTTCCACCTACCACACTTACCTCTAACCTCTCTCTCTCTTTCCACCATTAATGCTACTCAAGCTCTCTTTGCCCAATCTCTCTCTCTCTCTAGCCACTCAAACTTGTTGATTTGCTAGGGATTGAAGAGGAGACCTAGATCTACACTTCCACCAAAGAATATTTGCTTCCCATACTTTCTTGTTTGGATTTTGTTACTCTTGGGTGCTTTGTGCACCCTAGACGGTTGAGGTCACCTCAGAGCCATATTCCATTGTGGTGAAACTTCGTGGTTTAGTTGGGAGCCTCCAATTAAGTTGTGGAGTTTGCCCCAAGCTTGTTTGTAAAGGCCCGGTTGCCGCCTCCAAGGGCACCAATAGTGGAATCACGGCATCTCGCATTGTGTGAGGGCGTGAGGAAAATACGGTGGACCTAGTAGCTTCTTGGGGAGCATTGTGCCTCCACACCGTTCTAACGGAGACGTACTTCCCCTCAAAAGGAAGGAACTTCGGTAACACATCCTCGTCTTCACCGGGTCCACTCTTGGTTATTTCTTACCTTTACTTGTGCAAGCTCATTAGTGTTACTTCTCTTGCTTGCGTGTCTGCTTGTTGTTGTTGCATTATATAGGTTGCTCACCTAGTTGCATATCTAGACAACCTACTTTGATGCAAAGTTTAATTTGGTAAAGAAAAGTTTAAAAATTGTTAGTTGCCTATTCACCCTCCCCCCTCTAGTCAACCATATCGATCATTTCAGAACATGTTAAAGACATCCACCTAAATGCAGATGTAAAAATACTTTCTACATAAGCATCCTATTTGTACAGTAAATGTTGATCTTGAGACTAGGGTTCTGAGTGGAGAAGAGATCTTCAAAATTGCCACATCCAGAGAGTATGTGAACTTCTTTTTAAATATCCATTCAATAACAGCCGCTCACAGATCACAGTGTCCTGGATTTCTTGCTAAGAGCAACAGATCAATTCAGCGTTAATTTTTGCACTTCAAAATTGGAGCGGGCTACAAGCACAAAATTCAGTAAAATAATGGTGGCAAAAGAAAGCAACCTCAAGATGGAAGAATAATAGTGAAACAAACAATGTGATTCAGTGTTACCAATGTACACAAAGTACCGCTGTTTCGTTTTTCAAGCAACTGTGAAGGAACCTACTATAACTTGCAGCTTGATACTTTGATCTGTGAGCATGAAACATCATATTCTATCAAGGTAAAGATCACTTTACCTAGCAAATCATTATTTGTACAAAGAAAGGAACAAATTATGCATTCATATACTCACATGCTGCACTCGGAGCATGGTATTATATTCTCAAACACCAAATTCAAAAGCTTGTTTATTACCAACTAAACATAATAGTTATACATATAGTAAATAATTAACCGAACTCCTAAAATTAGGATGCATAATGGAGCCAACATAAAACTACAAAATCCTCTCATATAAATATTTTCAGACATAATAAACTTTGAAGGCACAAAAGTACGATTTCATCGGAACATCCATCAGTACATTGTCTCACTGATTGTTCACATGAGGTAACTAACAACAAGTACCACGATACATTATTTCCCTCATCGGTGATAGCTACTCTATAAACTCAGTAGACTTCCCCTATAAATGCCAATGGACTTGGAATCTCCCAATTCTAACGAATCAAGAAAGGTGTCATTTCTTGGATCATAACTTCGCAGAAATCCATCTCCTGGTTCTCCACTACCAAGGATACCTTGTAGATAACCCTCTGCACTGAAAAATATCCTCCCATCATCTAACATTAGAAAAGGATACATACAAGGCCTAGCAACATGTGATGGCATGCTGTATTTCTTAACCCAGATACATTTCTCAAAATCTGTCAAAAACCACAAGTCCATAGATATGTTATGAATATTGTGAACCATAACTAAACATCCATTCAATTCAGCCAATGATAACTCAATTTCAAGTTTTGAGTAACTGTAATCCTCGTTTTCTTGCACAAACCTCTGCACCTGTTGTGGACCATGTAGAACACCCCACTCTTCTGTCTCGAGGTTGAACGAAGCTACGCTACCAGACTCAATGGTTATAACCCCAGTTTCAAAGTATGTGGAATAGAAGTCCATCAAGAAGTACACCACCCCGTTGACGACCACACATCTTATCTCGCGACCAGTACAGATATGGGACGGAGGGTCCTGCTTCCTTCTCCATCTTCCATGGTTCATCTCATTAAAGGTGATAATCTCACATACCTTTCGGTCACCAATTGTAGAGACACGGAGTGCCTTGTACTCTCTGGTAGAGGAGACCTGCCCAAACGCACACGACTCGACTTTGCAGTGCCACTCTTTTATTCCCTCCACTTGTAGCTCATGCACCAATTCCTCTGAGAAATCAGTCGGCAAGGTGATGGTAGATCCAGTGGCCGGGTTCAACACCCAGAGATCCCGAGAGTAGAAAATCCAGTTGAAGCAGATGAGATCTAGCCGCGTGCGTACAACACGGATGCTATCGCCCTTGCTTGAGATCTGGCCTACCGGATCGCCCGATGACTCGTTCACTAGAACAATTTCGTACCCGGTGCTTGGTATCCGCTTCAGCACATTGCCGGAAATATCTGAAATTGCAACGCCGTTGGTCCCACTATCATCGCAATAGGCTATGGCGAGGAGCGGGGGCGCCGTGTGGTGGCGGGACTTGTGCGCCGTGATGAAGAGTGGGTCGAACGTGAGGGCGCGCCAGGAGGGGCTGACGGTGCGCAGGCGGCAGAGCTCCTTGGCCGGGATGCGAAGGAGGATCTCGTACAGCGCATCGGCAGGCAGGTCGTCGGATCTGGAGGCGGAGGGGCGCAGCTTCGAGGACGACATCGCTGCGGTAAGTAGATCTCGTGAGCAAGCGAGCGAACCAGATCAATGATGGGTTCAGATGGGGTTGTGTGCGGAGGAGACGAAGGAGTTTGTCTTACCGAGAGAGGTGGCGGCGAGCAGGCAATCGCCGGAGACGAGATGTCAGAGGGGAAAGCGCCTGGCGGTGAATCGATGGCCGCCGCACTGGTCTAGGGTTTGGTTTAGGCTGGGACAGCAAGGGATCGATGCAAAGTGTCCGCAACTCCCGAATTTCCCAATTTCGGTTAAATAAAAAGGGAAACACTTTACAACAGACGTCGGATGGAAGTCATTTGTCAGACCAGCCGCACGCCATCGATTCGCTTAAATCTCACGGTCAAGGGTGGTTTCGTTGTTTGATGAGATTCCAAAACAACCCATTCAATTTTGTCGCGCATACTCTCCGATAAGGCAATAACACCTCCCGCATTGACCCCATGTCCCCGCCAGCCTCAAACTCACCCCATCGCTCGTCCTCGTCTCCATCGCCTACTCTCATGCCGCCGATCTTGCCAATCCCCTCGCCGTCCTCACCTCTTCATCATGAACAAGCCCCGATGTGTCATCCCAAGAGTGAAATGTGTCATTTATCCATTAACTCAAACCGATTGCACGCTTTAGGCCAAGTAACCGAAGAATCGATCAATTTAAACCATAAACTCGTTTATTTGATCAAATAAGGCAAAACTGTTTGAGGGGGTAAAATACGGCCATGTGGCTGCCATGTCAACATACCTTAGACCCCTAGCGCTTTGGTTAATTTGTAGTGGGTGTTTTTTGCAAACTGGCCATCACAATAAAGTGGCTGAAGAAAAAAAAAGATCCTGGTCCATGGTACTCGAACTCGTATCGTACTATTAGGAAAGAGGGATTACCTAGAAGACCACTTAGTACAATTACTGGTTGAAGAAATGAGAAGCAGCTGGCACTATTTTCCAATTTCTTTACATAGGAAGTACCTCGCAAGCAAAGCCAACAAAGACGGAACACCATTCTGATGGAAGCAATACAAATTATGTACAGAATTATTCAGGAGTTCTTTAGCCACATCCAAATAGCGTGTGGCAGACATGCATGGCGTAGCAAATTTAGCAAATGCATAAGTTATACAGCAAGCATTCTATTGCGACTTCGCATCTTCGCTGCTGATACCACAACGACGATGGAGCCTAGCCGACTACTACGTATTAAAGTTTCTTTCTAGCGATACACACACCGAAACCAAGATCGACACCAGGAGGGCCGCCGATCAGATCAGATCAGACCAGAGCCTACTCGTCCTTGGAGGCGTGAGTGGCGGACACCGTGGAGACCATGGAGTCGACGCCACACTTGTTGCGCACGTTCGAGCCCCTGCAGATCTTGTAGTAACCCTTGTCCCCCCAGTTCTCGCCCCATGAGTTCTTGATGATCCAGTAGGGCTTCTCCTTGAAGCGGGAAGGCGCGAAGCCAGACGCCCCGTAGCCGACGAGAAGGACACCGTGGTCGAGGTGCCTGCCGCAGATGTATGGGCATGACACTCCGCCGATGTATGTCTGCATGTATGCGGCGTTGATACCGACTGCACAGGAGAGGAAAAATATGTGTCAGTGGTTTCTAATATATATAGATTGATTGTTCCATGTGCTTAGAAACACAGATCTGGGATGTAAACTCCATGTGAGACAGTTATACTCACTGGCCAGCGGTCCATATTTCACAAGGTTAGCAGCAATCTGTTCTTCATCAACAGCGACAACGCTGAAGTTTTGAACTGAAGCAGCAATCTTGGACTTCTCAAATTTGCAGGTACCGTCCTTCCCGGTGTAAGGGTAATCCTTTTCTCTCTCAAGGCCACCAGATTTCAACAGATAGCTAAAGGCTGAAGTCATCAACCCACCATTGCATCCAGCATCGCATGAATCAGGTTCTGCTGGGTCGCACTGAAAAATTCACAATATGATGCAGCATATTAAGTTGAGGCGCCCATCAAGGTAACCAGGCAATAAAAGGTAATATAATTGTTCTACTACCCTTGAATTCGCATTGCAGAAAGAATTGTTCAATGCAAAACAGCACGGCATCTACCTTACTACTCCCTCCGTTCCTAAATATTTGTCTTTCTAGACATTTCAAATGACTACTACATATGGATGTATGTAGACATATTTTAGAGTGTAGATTCACTCATTTTGCTCCATATGTAGTCACTGGTTGAAATGCCTAGAAAGACAAGTATTTAGGAACGGAGGGAGTAGTATTTTTCTAGACAACAGTTTCATGTGATACCAGTGGTTCTCGACTGGAGAAGATAGGTAAACTGAGATAAATACAAACAAACATGTAGTACCATTGAAATAAAACTAAGTAAACAGCAAGACAGCACGGGTAAAAGGCCCTTCAACAAAAGTTGGATGCCTCACACTGCATATGAGTAAAATGGAGCTACGGTTGATGTGCCCTTACAGGTACTAGTACGGGTCACAGAATCTTATACCATGTATTACACATACTAAATCCCATGTAAAAGAAATATTTTACAATTTGGAGTCATGAACCAAACATCGGGCACTACCAAAGGACACATCCTATGCAATAATTACATTTTTCATTTCCCTTATTGGTTTGATGACAGCAATATAAGACCTACCCAGCTAACAGTTTGCTTCTTTCCCATTCAGTTAGAGATCAGAATATCAAGTTAAGTGGCATCCAGTTCAATGAGTTGACAATATAGAAATCATCAAACAACTTCGGTTAATTACACAAAAAATTCAGTGGCTATGCCTATTCTGGTGGATGGACAATAAGCTGGATAGTCCATAGAGATCAAAGTGGCACCCTCACAGCTCACCCACCGAATCAGTGAATAAGCACAAGGCGCCTTGGTGAATACTGAATACTGAGTCACTGACCGATGATAGGTCTGTCTCAACCTATCCATTATCCTAAATTATGACATCCATCCACTCACCAAACATTTTTATCTTCATCTTTATTCTAGGTTTGAAGCTATCATCTCAACAAAAGGAAGGCTTTAAGCTACCCCACCCACCACCACCAACAGGTTCTCCACAGTAAGTTTGAGGTGATTACTATGTTGATTATTTTGGTTCTTTTCATAAAAGAAGCCAATTGCTTTTGTTGACTGTTAACTAGTAATAATCTAACAGGATCTTGCCACTCTTGTCCTCCAAATTTCCCTTGTAAAGTTTTCCATGGAATACTGATCCCAATTCCCCTCTCAGAACTCACCTAGACCCTTTATTTCGTTTGGTGCGTTGCCCAATCAGAAATCGACAACATAAAAAAAAAGTCTACACCAACGGACAAAACATAGTGACATGCCACAATAATCCAACCTATCTTGTGAACAATCAACCAATCACAAGCCTCACCTCATGGTCGCAGTCGACCAGCTGCTGCTCGGAGAGCACCTCCATCTTGCCCGTGGCCAGGTAGTTGGCTCCCTCCAACGCCCCGGACGCGCTGAACGACCAGCACGACCCGCACGAACCCTGCAAAATCAACAAGGTCAGGGGCGGAGGCCAGATCGGGAGATAAAACGGCCAAAGAATCAGGGGGGGACCTGGTTCTTGACGGGGCCGACGGCGCCGTGGTCCCTCCAGTCGAAGTCCTCGGGGAGGCCGTCGGTGGGGAGGACGGGCGCGTCGTGCGCCGACTCGGCCATCTCCCGCAGGAACGACCGCCGGGTCGTCTTGAGGCCCAGGAAGGTCCGGCGGAACTCGGCCGGGGTGAGGTCGGAGAACTTGGTGACCCCGTGCTCGGCGGACGGGTCGAGCATCTGGTGCCGGCGCGCGCGGCGGAGGTTGGCCTTGAAGACGGAGAGCCGGTGCGCGTGCTCCTCCGCATCCCTGTAGGTCTTCCCGAACCGCTGCACGAAGCCGAGGAACTGCGAGTCGAGCTCCAGGTCGTTGTCGAGGGGGTCGGCGCCGCCGACGACCTGCCGGATCAGGGGCTCCTCGTCCCCCGCGGCCGCCGCTGCCGGCGCCGGGGAGAGGAGGAGGCCCAGGAGGACGAGGAGAGCGGCCACGAGGCGATGATCCATTGGGGGGATTTTCTTGGTTGCTTGTCTGGGTGGGTTATCTTTGCTTCGGCTCCACTTCCTGTTGCTTTATAGGAAGTTGTTAAAGTAGATATTTTGTGTTTAGACTCCTGGGTGCTGTTCTTTTTGCAAACGGGCCCTTTGAGATTCATGGATTATCCAAAGATATTTTACTCCTCCTTGTTGGCCCCACGGTATATACCCACCGTGGACGGTGGTGTCCGGAAGAAGAAGCTGACTCGGCAGGGGCCACGTCTCGTTTTGTGTGTCGAAAGTCAGGCTAGTGCCATTGACGAAAATCGATGACCTGGCTGATGGGAACAACCTGCACACAAGCCCCTGTAACCTCGCTTTATTAGCACCAAGGAAGTTTTCCCTCTTTCCATGCTCTTGCTGGCAACCATCTGATTGTGCCACCCGCTTTTCTTTGCCAAATACTCCCTCCGTTCCCAAATATTTGTCTTTCTAGAGATTTCAACGAGTGACTACATTCGGAGCAAAATGAGTGAATCTACACTCTAAAATAAGTCTACATACATCCATATGTTGTGTCCATTTGAAATGCCTAGAAAGACAAATATTTGGGAACGGAGGGAGTAGTCGCCAAACATATCTACTCACCGCCATGGGTTGCCTGGATAGAATGCAATATGCAGTCTGCACGTGATCGTCACTACCGCGGCTTGGCCAACCGCCACCATGGTTGCACTGCGGGATCTCATTACGCCAACCCTCTGCTATCGCAAACTCATTCTCTCTTTTCATCCATCCGGCGGAGAGAACTCCGACCACATGCGTCCAGCCTGCGCCATTGACTTTCACCCCGACTAGAGCTTCCCGGAGTCTCCGCGCAACCCATCCTTCCGCATAGCAAGACACATTTAAGGCGTTTTTATGAATTGCTCAAGAGGTCACTTCAGCTTTAATTCATGGGTTTTAATCATATACAATATGTGTTTGATCGCATAATTTATGTAGATGAGCTTGCTCGTCGAGGATACTTCGTCCTCATATGATTGTGATGGGGGTTTGTTCAAAAAAAATGGCTTTGAGGAGGTTGCATTGTTGCTAAATGAATGATGGGTAGAGAGAAACATGAAGAGGAAGCATCCAGGTTCGCAAAAAAGGCGTGTGAATATTATGGAACGAAACAGCTAACTATGACCAACTCGTCCATGACTACTTTCCGAACAAACCCATGTGTCATCCGCATCTCTTAGGCCAACACTTCCATATGTCAAGAGAGCTTCTTATGTGTATTTTCAGTGATATGGAAGCGAACACGAAAAGGAAAAAACTTAGTATCTTGACATGGTAAAGAATTTGGTTGAGTTGCTCTTATTCGCTGCAAACTTTGCACATTAATTGGCTAATATGGCTCATGCACATTCGCGTCGATGTGACACACATATAATTATCGTTTTTTCAAATTGAGGAGCTTGTCACCCCAATTTTATTTTATAATAGAAAAGAAACCGATAAACAACATCCAGGCCCATTTAAGTGTTCCAAATCTCAAACCAAGGAAGCAAACACATGCACCCTATCATGACAACATGTGCAAAGGGAACACATGCAGCAGGGTCATCACACATGACTCCTCGGCACTATGAAAATGTAAGTATTATGCATAAAACTACATCATACACTAGTATCAAGTATAACAAAACTACAACAAAAGAGGCAAAGAAACAAGGTAGACCGGAAGATAAAGCAATTTTCTCCTGGAACTTTTTATCTCTCTCGTATGATCATGAGCTTAGAGTCTAACCTACTCCAAGTGTGCACGTCCTCGGTGCCCATCCTATGCTCTTGGCAAAGAAGCCCATATCAGTCTCAGTTAGCAATGATGCCATGGGTTGAAGCATCAGTCGACCGCCACTTTTCTGCATACCGTTTCAATATGATATCCAATAAGAAATTTGAAAGGAGAGCACACCACGATCATGTGGGTAGACATGATGAAATGTAGCAGAATTCCTGGCTTCCAACAAAGTCCAAATTATTGTTGGCGCACCCACGGTCACTACATGTATGTGTTCTTTGGAGAAGCTCTCTATCCATCCACTAAACTATTTCTATTTTGGGGGATGTTGCTCACACGAGTCACACTTTTCATAACACTCCACACAAATCTTGCAACAACAAGTTATAGAAAAGGTGTTCTGCAATCTCCTCATGATCACAAAAACTACACTTAGCGTTATTTCCTTTCCAATTTCTTCTAACAAGATTATCCCTAGTAAACACACTATTCCTAAACACTGGCCATATGAAAACTTTAATCTTCAAAGAATTGTTTGCATTCCACGTCGTTCTATGCGGCCATACCACTTGATCAGTTTTCAGAGTTAAGTACAATGATCTAATAATAAATTTACCGGACTTGGTTAAAGCCATGTATACTTATCCTATTTGTCAAAAATAATTACATCTCTACATATATCCTTAGGCTAAGCCCACATGTCAGTAGGTTTTCCCCATAATACTCTTCTACATCTAACTTTGCTCGTTTCATCTTCTGGAGCTTTAATAAAATTTGCACTGAGGTAAGTACATATAATTTGGTAAGATGCAGACATAAAGGCCTATCTCCAATCCATAAATCCTCCCAAAAAGTGTCCTCTCCACATCACCTACCATCTTTCTACCATACAATAGGAAAATAGGTTTAACTTTCATTAAACCTTGCGAGAAACGAGACTAGCCAGGTTTGCTCTTACATGACCTTGAAGTAGACTTTCCTATGTATTTTTTCCTAGCTAGACTCTGCCACACACCCTGTTCATTTTCAACTTTAAAAATCCATTTGGAAAGTAAACAAATGCTCAAAACATCTAGATCAGTTACACCAAAACCACTCATATCCTTGTGTCTACACACATCCTCCCATTTAACCAAATGGTACTTTTTTGTGTCTTCTTCCTCCTGCCATAACATTCTTCTTCTATAAAAAATCGTCTTTTTACTAGGACCTTTAGGGAGTTCCAATAGAGAAATCATATACAAAGGTATGTTGCCTAAACTTGAATCAATTCAAATCAGTCCCCCTCCACATGAACCACCTCTAGCCATCCATACCCCTGTTTAAGAATTCGTCCGATTAACTTGCCGATTAGCCTATTAATCCCCTAGTCGCTAGCCAACCGAGCAACTACCAGTTAACGATTTCCTTAAGAATGATCCACACACATAATTTCTTCTCCATTTTCTCCCATGGCCAATCCCATTCACTATTACGTAGTCTAACTGAATTAACTGGAACACATAAGTATTCAAATCGTAATTCCTACAGCACAAGTAAAAATAGCAACATAATTGTCTTGCTTATCTATAGCTCTACCAAAACAAAAAAATGTCGCTCTTATGAAAAAACACTTTTGAACAAGAAAAATGTTGAAAATAGATAAATAATTAACTTTACATTCCCAACACTTCCCAACTCATCTTTAAACACAAAAACAATGTCATCTGCATAACGTGGCACGTTGATACCATTTTCGCAATCAGTGTTGCGCTAGATTCTGACTTAGACCTTGTTCATGAGCTTTTTCCATCAACAAAAGTAAAGTATCTATTGCAAGGTTAAAAGGATTGGGGACATGCCCCTGGCTCAAACCTTTTGTATTTTAAAAATGACCAATCTGGTCATTTACCATTACAACTACTTTGCCTCTCTCAATGGATTACATAACCCAACTACTAAATTTATGAGAGAATCCTTTCTTCTCCATAAAAAATTCCAGAAACTCCCAATTAATTTTGTTGTATGCTTTCTCAACATATATTTAGAAGAAAACAACACTTTCTTTTTTCCTATGAACTTTAGGTAAAACAGTAACACCATATAGTATATATTTCCCCTTTATAAATACAGTTTGTACCAAAGCAACTACATTGTCAGCTACTCTAATAACTTCATCATTAATTACTTTAGTAAAAAATAAATATAGCATTGAGAAAGCATGTGGGTTTGTATTGTTAAAGAGTTTCAGCTCCATCACATTTAGAAAGTAAAGCTAGCATAGAATATCTAGCTAGATCAGGCTCTCCATTATAAAAATCACTAAAAGCAAGTAAATCATGACCTATAACATGTTAATATTTTTGATAAAACTATTGGTAGATCATCATGTCCAGGGGCCTTATTATGCTTTACAATAACTTTGATCTCCTCTAAAGTAAACACACTATCCAGAAGGATTATGTCCATCTCATCCAATACATCAATATCTAATTTATTGTCCAAAAATACAGTGCCCAAAATTGGTTTTTGTAGAAACCAATGGAAATAACAGTCGATCCTTATCACCATGTGCACCACAAGAAACACGTCCCTTAGGGTTTCTCTTTCCCTCTCACATTTGCAACGACTAGGGCACTCATACCTTTCAAGCTTCGGCAAGACCGTGGATCCACCTCCCCTCTACCCGCTGCTCAGGCGGCCGGTGGTGGGGAAAGGGTCCCGGTGCCTCAACTCCGGCTATTAGTTTAGGCTAGGGTTTTTCCTCACAAGGGCAACGTTCTGGCGGATGGCGGCGCTCCGTCTTCGAGTTTCTCTTTGAGGCTTCAATCCTCTTTGAGTTTTTCCATTGGGACGGAGGAGCGCCGATGTAGATTCCTATCATATCCTTGAGGCAGCCAAGTTAGGGTTTCTTCTCATGCGTGTGTATCGACGAGATCTAATGTCAGACGCTTCAGATTGATTCAATGGTTCAATGGCAATGACTGTGCTTGTGTCGTGTTAGTGCTTAGGGGCTTGTGCATGAAAACTTCTCGGCTATCATTGAGAAGGTTAAGCCGACTCCAGTAGGGGAGCGCCGACGGCTCGTTTTGATGGCGTGGGGTGTTCGATGCAATCTTCGACTCCCTCCGTCCGGAAATACTTGTCCTACAAATGGTTGAAAATGGATGTATCTATAACTAAAATAAGTCTAGATACAATCATTTCTAGGACAAGTATTTCCGGACGGAGGGAGTATATCTAAATAGCTAGCCCCCCA